AATAGTTTTCTTCCCCATGTGAATTCTTCAAAAGAATTTGAGTTTTTAAGTGCCACAGAAACTGCTGATTTCAGTCTCTCTACTACTTCAGCATGCAATGAGATCCTCCTGCTCCATCACTTAGATCTTTAACTTCCCCAGTCCCTTGGGGAGCTGCAGGTGACTGGACTTCTATTAGTCTCAAAGAGGAAGCTGAGGGGCTGAGCTAGGCAGGGGGAGCCCAGAGCAGCATCACTGCTGTCTGTGCTCTGACTCAAAGCTGTGACACACGTGGCTGCCCGTGTTGCTCCACGGAATTCACTTATCAGATGGCTTCATTCCAGTAGTGCTGCAGTGTCTGTGCTCTGTATTTTTGCACAGTACCCAGGAGTGTAAGTGGGGCAGACCAAGGATAGCTAGGGTTACTACTCAGATACAAACTATAACATGTTCATTAATAAATATTACATATAGCAAATGTCAGCTTGCTGTTACTTCTGTATATTTTATGTGAATGCAGACCTGTTTCTAAGGTTAACTATATTTTCTGCTGCAGACTGCTGAAGGCATTACCAATTTTGCACCATAAAATCTACAGAGCAGCTAATTAGTCAGTTTTTAAACTGAGCATTTAGGCCTTTCACGAACTGCACCAGCTTACGGAAAATTTTCTGGAAAGAAAACCCTTCTACATCACAGAAATGCAAAGCTCAAGCTAGTGTATAGCTCCACTTCTATTTTTTTCTCCATCAGACTAAAATAATGACTCATTGTAGTAGGTTATTTCCATGTGATTCATGAAATAGTACAGAGTAATTGCCCTCTACAAAGTTTCTGGTTTAACAAATGCTTTCTGTAGCAAGTATAAACCTATTTCTTTTAACATTGATCAGGATCCTCCTAGAGCCAACAAATCAGATAATGAATTACAAGTCTATCTGTTCAGTCTGAGTCCTTAGACACAGCCAAGGTTACTGTGTTTTTATTAAACATTCAATTGGAAGAAATTGAGGTCTAATTTAGTATACTACAAACCCACTTTGATATAACTGAGGAAAAGATTCAGTGAAAATTAGTCTAAATATTGCAAAACATCAGAGAAGAGAAACTGTAATCTTCATCTCACTAAATCAGAGATGATAGCATTTATCCAGGTTGTAGAAGACCCTTTTCACGCCTATCTTCTGTATTAATCAGTAGAACAGATCTATTCCACAGTTTCTTCACTTTGCAGTTGATCAAGTTTATCAGTACACTGTAGAATATTCTGAGAAATGTTTCCCTCATCCCTGCTGGTTGGAACCACTGTACCAAGATAGACAATTACATTTTATAAACTCATCACAACCAAGAACAAGAGTGGAAGAACAAGGATGTCTGGTGGAAAGAGATCCTGAGGAAGTGGGCGATATGAATTCAGTCATCTTGGAAAAAAGGTTTGCATTTGAGCATCCTGATATTCTGGATTAATTTGCAAGCCTCACACCTGTCAGCCTAATAGAGATTATAGATCTAGCAGTGATTTGCTTTTCTTTCATACGTCACCCGACTTGACAGACTCCACTCAGGTTAACAGGTAGTAGTTGGAACAAAAGCAAAATTACAGATTTTATTTCAGAGTTTGCTCTGTGAAAAAGAAGAAAAAAATCCCCCTCTTCTACCAAACTACCTAATGTCCAGAAATCCTCTTTTCCATTTCTAGTTTGCAGCTGCTTTATTGGGTCTGCCTTGCATCTCTGGCATGCTGCTATTCTGGTACTTCTGCCCTGAGATTAGCAGGAGGAAAATCAGGCACAGCTGCAGGGCACAGTGCTCCAGTATTTGTGCTCAGAACTGCTGATTTATCTGTAAGGCTGCTCTGGGAGGGATTTCAGCATCTCCCGGTCTTGTCCTCCCATTTTCCTTTTCTGGGCTGTATTCCCAATCCCTCTACCTGCAGCTTGCTATTTCCCCCCTCATGGCCACTTGTCTGCACAATGTTTACCACAGCCAATTCCTGACCCCTGGGCTGCTCAAAACACCTTGAATAAATGTAGCATTGCAGCTTGCCAGGCTCTGTGACTGGGAAAAAGTCTGGCTTGCAAAGGTCTGTAAGTGTCACCCACTCTGTGCACTCTTTTACAGACTTTTTGTTAATATAGAACTTCCTGCTGAATTATAACAGAATTATCATGTATGGTGCTATCATGTACAATGTTGTTTTATAGATCCAACCTGTTTAGACAACACACAAATCACACTGCAACATGCTATGGCAACACCACCATGCAAAACATAGGGGTTTTTGTTTCAAACATTGGGATAGTTTCCTTTGTGACTGTTTATTTACTTTTAGTGTCGTTTACTGACTTTGTCCCATTGAATCCAAATTTCTTCCTGATTACAGTGGATTCAAAGCATATTACAGGAAGCCTTTACCTATAAGAAAGTAGTTAGAGAATTACTGTTTTGTTTTTAAAAGTGAGATATTCCCACAGCCTCACAAAACTTTCACTGTGTTTTTTTCTTTTTTTTTTTTTGATTACTGGAAAGTATATTTATATTTTTTTAAATACTTGAGGCAATACCCTTGAGCCTCATTACAGGGGAGACAGTTTCTGACAACTGCTTCTCCTTCCCTAGAAACTAAAAAAACAAAAACCATGATCTTTGCTGAAAGCTCTCATATTGTTCATTTCAACACACACAGCTCCACTAACCAGGTCACAGAAAAAGCCACTGACGCACACACACACACACACACAGAGCAGCGTCACCTGCACAATTCAACAGACAATGCAGACAAACTTGAGTATAATCCAAGATCTTTCTACCTCTTTTCATAACAGGTTAGTGCTCGCCCTCAGTGTTGGTGTACAGTTTTTATGGCATGGAAAAATAGGGATGTTTCTGCCCTACAAAAATAAATGCGTTGAATTCTTTAGTTGGAACTTTCACAATGTAAAAGACAAAAAATCCCAAAGAAACTGGATAAGTAAAAATAATCCCAAGTATCACAAAATCAGTGGATATTTTGGCAGCTGGCAAAAGAATGCCCACACAAAATCTACCAGCCTTCTTTTTTTTTCTTTTTTTTTTTTGCCTTTGAGAAATAGCTTTCAAAAGTTATATGTTGTAAGAAAAAAAATCAATTATTTTAGTCCATTATGAAAACGAATCCAAATCAAACCCTTGCATATAAACAGCATGAATTCTTTGCTCCTGTAGAAGCTGTGAGATATAAGGGAAGATGGTAAAATTATTATTGTTTTTTTCCCTGTGCCAAAATGGAAAAACAGGGACAAAGTATTTTTTAGTAAAACAAAAAGAAGACAGGATGGAAATCCAAAGTATTCAACTGTTTTAGACTTATTATTTTAGAAGGCACCAGAAAAAGAAACAACATCCAGCATGTTTTAACAGATTCTTTACTAAAATTATAGGGGGGGCGGGGAAAGTGACTAATTTCATGCTTCCTAATGCAAAAAGCATGGCTCCCAAAGGTCCATTCCTCCATGTGTTGAGATCAGTGGGAAAGGGACTAGGGAGGAGGGGTTGTAATGAAAGCACATTATAAAGCTGTCATTCCCAGGAAAATTCACAAGCTGTGATGAATACACTTTTAACCACCAAGTTAGAGAAGCAAAAGGGAAAGTAGGGATCAGTGAGGGGAAGGGGAGAAGGTTGTCCCATCAGGCTTACTAGTCTTCCGAGGCAACAAACTTACCACATTGCGTGTGAATTTCTCAAAAGATGTTCGACGATCCAGAGTGTTTTCCAACTTAAATTTGAAATAAATAAAACAAAAGAAACAAAAAGAAAAAGGAGGGGGAAAAGAAAAGCAAGACAATGGAGTAGAAAAGGAGGTTTGATGTAACAATGGACTGCAAAACAAAGTTTGTATAAATCAGGAAGCAAACACAGGTATGAGGCTGTAATGGGACTTGGCAAAACAGGGGATGGGCAAAACAGATATAGCACTAGACAAAAGTAATTTTTCATGGGGATCAAACTGGTTTAAATTTAAAGAAAAACTGAAAGTAAAAAGAAATAATGAAGTGCACATCTTGTGTTAATGAACTGACATTCACAAACTTAAGGACTTCACACGGACAGTTGAAGCTTTCTGGTACTTTCAACATCTCTCTCTATACTGGATCTTCAGAAATCAACGTTTGAACAAAAAACAAAATCACACAGCACTTTCATATAATTTTAGGTTGTCATTATTAACAATAGAATGCTACGGTGTTAATAACTACCTTGTTCCAGTAACAATAGGGGCCCTGATTTTGCAAGGCACAGGGCTCCCAGCTGATTCTAGGAGATTACTGCTTAGAGCCCACTAACAGAATTATTTATCATCATGAAAATCTGCATTATACAAGCTGCTCCACATACTCTGGGCTGTGGCTATTCAGAACCCATTCCATAAGCTGAACTTTTCTAAGAAAATGTTACATACCAAGACATGAACTTCTGTTTGCCAAAGTGTGACATGATCAGTCTTTCAAGTCAGATTCCTAGCCTACTCAAAACTATTCATGTAGTAATAGGGAAAGAAACAAAATTGGGAAGCCCCTGTATTTATAGTTGAAGTTAGAAGTTATTCATATGAATAAGATTGTTTCTAAATACATTCTGTAGCTTTCATAGGTGGAATAAAGAGAACAACAAATGTTACATAAGCAAACTTGCAAACATGAAAGACTATTCTTCTGGGATTTTATTTTATTTTTTTAATGTATTTGTAAAGCACTTTGCAATTTAAGGTGCTTCATAACAGAGAAAACAGTACAATATGGGATGTAAAAATAAAAATAAGTTTTGCTAGATTAACTTATTGAAACATGCCCGCATGCAGGATATATACACATATATGTATATTGAATTCCTGTGTGTATGTGACCCTCCAAAAACGCCAAGCTGGTCACCTACCAGATATCCAGTTGCACTGGCACAGGGGAGAGAAGACTGAGTATTGTTGCAAACATAACCACTGCTTTGCACAGTGGCAAGACAAAGGCAAGATGGACCAATACCTTTTTCTTGGCCTGTAGCAGCTCCTGGTAGGCACTGGATCGTATAAAACGAGGATAAGAATCACTTTTCATCAGTTTGTAAATGTGCTCCTGAAAAGGAAGGGAGGAGCTGTTACTGCCATAGAAGAGGACACACGTAAAATGGGAGGCAGCCACATGTTTTGGCCATGGAACATAGACCAGCTAGCACTACTATGAACAGGAACTATTATAGGATAGCACATTTCAGCTCTGAAGCTGAATTTCAGAGAACTCAGCTCTGAATTACTTTCTATTCTTAAAGCTGAAATCCCATCCATTTCTTATGTATAATTATACAACCCACCTTTCTTTAATTTATTGACCAAATTTTCCAGTGCAAAATTATTTTCTAAGAATTGGTAACTGAGTCCTAGCTTCAGGTCCAACTTCAAACCTCCCTTACATTAGTTAGTTTAGGTAAGCGATGAAATTAAGAGCTGTGGGTCCTTCCTCATCAGATTTTCTGAATTAGTTTCTGAAGACATCTTGTGATGTCAGAGGTACTAGGAAGAGATACTAGGTTTTAAATTCATCACCACAAATAATGCTTAGGTTAGTGAGGAATTCCCCTGGCTACCCTTGACAACATCCTTTGACAGTTGGTTAGTCTGCTGTCCAGCTAACAATATAAAAATGAAATTACATATGTAAATTGAAAAACAGTTCCAGGCTAATCTAATTTTTTAAAGATATTAATTCTTCAGAGGCATATGACAATTTGAAAACCTTTATTCAGAAAATAAATTACAAAAGAAGCTTAAAAAGCTTTTAATTCTGGAATGTTCTAATTTCTGAAAAAGAAAAGAAATCTGTGGTGTAGAACACCTGATAATTCTAGTTCTGATTATATGCTAGAGATAAGATTTGTAGAAAAAGCAACCAGAACAGAAAATTTTCTCAAAAATATTCTTAAAAAATCTTGAATCATTAGCTATTCTATGGTTAGCTATTTTTATAGAGTTTTTGTTTTACTCAAATTCTATTTTTTACTGAAGGAAACCTGTAGCACAGTAATTGGGAAACAGCAAACAAACTAGAAAGAAAATACTGTTTATCAGCTTGGTAGTGTATAAAATTAGTAAAATAAAAAAACCTAAAACAAACAAAAACCCCCAAAACTCTTCACCTTGTCTGGAAATTAAAGCTAAAATTAGAACTGATGTTTATTTTTTGCTGTATTAGAAACCGTATAAATTATTCTAAATGTCTTTGTATATCTTACAGTAAGCAGAGAAATTCTAATGTCTAATCAGGACTTAGACTGTTTTATTTGGGGAAGGTTTTTTTCACTCAGTGTCTGTGAAAGCAGACAATGAAGTCAACAGAGAGCAGAAAGAGGTGATAGGCATTAAAATTTTATTTCTGTACAAGAAAAATGCCTGTAAAAGCAAGAATAATTTGGGCTGTATTAATATTGTTAATGTACACATTAGCCAGGATATGTTAATACACATATTTAGCACAATCAGGCTATTTTTACTTATGTGTCCTATTTTATTTATGTATCTAGATTTGACATGGAGTTTCATCTTTCTATATTTCCAGTCCAGAAATGCTTTTCATAGATTTTTAATGTATGAAAAGCATTTAACAATTAAATGACCCACCAGCTGCCAGAATGGCACACCAGTGGTCTCGTTCCCAGCTGGCAGGCCAAAAAATGCCTGTTGCAGAGGCAGAGCCCTACTCCCAAAAAAAGCCCTCCACCTGAGGTGGGACACTTTAAAGATCCTAAAGCTTCAAGTAAGAACACAGCAGGTGCAGCCTGTCCCTTTTCCAGAGAAATTGAGGCTACTGGGTTTAAGGTTTTGTGCTGAACTGGATGAAGTAAGCAGAGGTCCTCTGCAGGAAGCAAAGTCCTGATTGCATAAACACTGAAAACTCCATGCCTTTCATAAATGAAGGACAAAATTATAAGAGAGATCTGGCAGTAAAAGGGTATTGAAATTTTACACTTATAAAAAAAAAAAAAAAAAAAAAAAAAGGATACTGGCAAGGAATTTAAATGTCAATTACTCACTCACCTGCAAAGACACATTTTTAAAAAACCTTTAATCTTGCTCTATTGTTTACCTTTGCCATTTATGTTTTTTCTATACACTGCATTCTTAAATCTCCAGGGGTCAGCAGATGCAAGCAAAAATTGTATGTTTGGTTTAATGCAGAGTACTTCAAAACAGTGGCTATGACATAGGCTCTACTGAAAATTTTATTTTTTCTTCATAGGTTGCTATTCTCATAATGGAAAAATTAAAAGGAGGTAAAATTATTCCCCTTCATATTTAGGGCAAAGGCATCCTCCCAAAAAGAAGAAAGCCTCAATTCAATTCCCTTCTCTCCTTCACGGGGCCTGTAGCAGCATCTCCTGAGTCCCAAGATGATGACCTAATAATCAAGCTGTAGGAAATTCTGCAGGGATATGATCTCAATCTCTCCTTTTGACACCATTTCACTTTGCATTAATAATTAAATTTTCATCACTGGGCTGCTGATGAAAATGGAGGATGATACTAGTTCTGCTACTTTTACTGTGAATCCAATTATTGTCTATTGCTTTTCTCAGAAATCTTTAGAGATTAAATATTGTTATAAGTCACATGAAGTGTTAGATTTAATACAGAAGTACTTCATTTTTTCTTCACTACATGTTTTCCTTTATTCAAAGTCCACTTGAAAACTCTATATCAAGCACAGAAGTTTCATGAACTTCATGTACCTCATGAAAGAAAGAATGTTACACATTTGCATTGCCAAAATGGCATTTTAGGAAACAGGGCGTTATCATTTAATTCCCAAATACATCTCATTTTTGCATATAGATTTCACTAGCCGATATTCCACTTCAGATGTCCATAAACATGATTGCAAACTGACCTGTGCATCTTCAAATGTGTATCTTCCAGGTTCCTTCACATTCTGAGTGGTTTTGTCATAACTTTTTGAATCTAGGTTGATGGCGCTGGGTGCACCTGGAGCAAGAAATTCTTGCCAGATTTCTTGGACGCGAGCAGGAACTTCACGGATAGGCCTCTTCTTCAGGTCTTCTACTGCTAACCAGAACCTACGGCACAACACAGCATCTTGACTTCCAGCTCAGGGTAGCCACTAATGAAGTGCCCTCATTTTTCCTTGCTCTTAAAAAAAAAATTAAGTAACTGAAGTTTTCATCGAGACATGCTAAAATAAGAAAAAGCTGAGTGATTTTATGTTGGGATCAGCATTCTGGCATACTGTCTCAAGGCAATCAATCCTCCTAGGGAAGCAATTTTTAGAAGGCTCTTCATGGGACAGATAGGAAATCCTTCATTACTTATGTATGGTAACACGCTTGCAGGAAGATTTCAGATTTAGCTGGAATTAAACTGACACTTCATTTTGGTTGAACCACAAGGGCTGATATTACTTATAAACTGACTGCTTTTTGACATTCCTTCAAAAACTAATCATTTATATTCTTGCTATCTACATGAATCTCTGAGTCCTACTAAATCCTAAACTGAGTAACTCTAATTTTGTTACTCAGAAATCATGCATACATTGGAAAAGCATTTGTTTTCCTAATTATAATTTAATTTCTTTTTTCAGCATTCCATTTACATGCATATTTTTGATAAAAGTTCTGAAAGGAATTACACATTCTCTCTTCTTCTGCTGAGAAAACCAACATTGGGCAGCCATATGTAGTGCAGCCAGTTCACTGTATCTTCATTCAGTCTGGAGCAAGATCACTAAAAAGGTCTTGAGCACTTTATGGTCATAACTAACTAGCTGTAATCTTTATTTCATTATTTCCTCTATTGGTGTTCAGACTCTCTCATGGCACAAAATAACCCTAAATTAATCTAGGATCCCATTTTTAGACATAGTTCAGAACACTTAGTTCTCCCCCAATCCAAGAGTTCAACTAAAGTTTGACTTTGGTGAACATGTAATATATACCATTGCAACTTTTCATTATTGTTCTGACACAGCTGATCCTACGAAACAGATAAGCTGAGCCATGAAGTGATTTAACTTTGAAATCAACTGTATTTTCCAAGGCTTACAAATAAATTGGGTACACCTTGTGGTTTGCACCCTGCTTACACTGTGAGATCAACTTAAAGCTCTCTTATCTGAGTTCAACAAGGATGGGATAGGAGAGAACAGTGAAACTGTACTCAGATTCCCAAGAAAGCAAAATGACACCACCTTTAACCCAGATTCTAATTTAATTATTGCAAAACACTTAGGATAGTAAACCATAGCAAACCTTACAGTATTCCTGCTATAAGATATCCTTCTCTTGAGAAAATTTACCTCTCAGGAAGCAATTATTCCTTCATAGTCCTGTTTTGAAACTTCTTTGCAGCTCAGATGGAAGGAGCCTGTGTTCATTTTCCACAAGCCAGCCTGGTCAGTTTCATGCTACTAAGATGACTATTTTAGGTATTTCTATAACCTTCAATTTCAGTAGTACTTAAGCACTTTTTCTTCATCTAAAATTCTCCAAGAGACAGAGAAGCAATATTGTCCCAGTTTTGCAAATATATTAATAATGTAATAATGTACAATGGTTTCTCCAAGGTCAGAAAGGGGATCTGTGCCAATAGAACTCCAGTTTCAAAACTTTTGGGTAGCATCACTTTTATGGATGAAATACAGTGTGAATTGAACATAGTCCTGCACAGAGCCTGGGGCTGTATCCTGAGAATCTGATGGCAATGCAGCAAGAAGAAATGCCTGATCACTCAAGTTTTAAAACTGCAAAGCTCACGAACTCTAATTCAGTTCACACTCTCAAATTTAGGCAACCTATTTTAGTTTCCTTAAGCTGCTTTCGATATTTGCATTTAAAAGCACATATCCTGCAGTGCTAACCCCTTCAAGTGCATCTTCTGGGATTGACTGATTACTCATGTGTCTCCAAGTCAGGTAAGGAACACAAAAATGAAAGGGAAGGATGCTCTTTGTAAACACACATTTTCTGTCTCCCTGCAGACATCCTGTGGATCTAGTTCAGAGATGTCACTTCCTCTTTTGTTCCATTGTATCACTGCCAATAATTCTGGAAGTCGCTGCAAACATGCCTTAGGATGCTATTTTCTTTTACAAGTAAACTGTTTTCATATAGTAGGTTATACTCAATTATGGGGAAATAGATGTGAGATAAATGTCAAGAAATTTAACTTCTATGCTTGCAGCATAGAATAGGGAGGTTGTGTAGACCCATTCTTACAGGCTGAACACCAGTTCTTTGATAGATTAATTTAATTTTACCTTTCTAACAATAGCATTCAAAGACTCAACTAAAAATGTGAAACTCTAAATATAGAAACCTCTCTAAAAGTGGGAATAATTATGATTTATGTGTTATGTCTAGGGTGCTTATTTCACAGCCAACACACATTTTAAGATTTTAATCTACTTATCTTTTAAGAAAAGATGCCTGCCCTCCTCCTACAGAGCATTGAATTCAAATATTCAAAGTTTAAAAATGACAAAAATAAGGCTGCTCCCTCTTGCATTTTCAAAAATAACTTTTTCAAATATCCCATGGCAACCAATAGCACAGATGAAGTTGAAATAGTCAGCAAGACCTCAGCACAGAGCTTCAAATCAAAAGAGCTCCCTGTACCATTTTACAGCTCTCTGCCTCGTGAGCTGTGACCAGAGCAAGGGAAGATTCCTGTAGCAAAAAACACACACTCTGCAACATTAACTATGTGCAAGGGCAGGGAGGGGACAAGGGGAATAGCATTTTTTGGGCAATGATATACACAGACTTGGTGCTACTTTGTGTAAGGAACTAGAACTCAGTCTCGCTGCCCTTGGATGGAGCTGCATCTCCCATTGATGGAGGTTTGCTTTTGCCATGGAGACCCTTTCTAGCAGATGCTCAGCACAGTTTGAACAGAGGCTTGAGTAGCTGAGTGTAAAACTCGCTGCTGCCTTCTACCCCAGCATTTGGGCTGCCATCTGCTGGGTCACACAGCAGAGTGTGTAGTGTACAGTACTAGCACATCCAGCCACATGGACTGCTAAAACACTTGTTGCAAGATATCTGGGGATTATGTCCTCCAGCTGGATTACTTTCAAAGCCAAGCTGGCCTCATAGATAAATAGCACAGCTGCCACACAGCTTCTGTCCCATTAACTGACCTAAAGGCAGGTGCAGCCAGATTCCAGACCAAGCTAATCAGTTAAATTTAGCCTGCAGGAACAATGAGTGGGAGAAAAACTGCAGTAATTCTCTGTGAAACATGTGAGGTATAGTCAGTGTGGAAACACTGGAGTGGGAATTATGTGAACTTTGCACACACTGCATGTGACAAAACAAGTAAGAGGCTAGACCTTTCAGCATTTTCAGAAAAAGCAAACAAAAACCTAAACAAACTCCATGAATAAAATCACATAATATTTTTCCAGGGGCAGGAAACACTGCTCTCTGATTTCCAGAGTCCACCTTCTTGCCCACTACAACTTCAAGCTTCAAGGCAGAGTAGAACTGAAGGATTTCAAGAATATGACAGAGAAACTCATTAAATCTTGCAACTAGCTCTTTCTCACCAACTCTGAGAAATGGCAAGATTGCTGGCATTTAAGCTTGAGTCTGAACGAGAAATAATTCACAGGCAATTTCAGCTTTGAGAGTTAAATTTTGGTCAAGTTATTAGCACCCACAACAGGGCCTCACAATCACCAGTGTAAAGGATAAACACCTCACAAAATGTCAGCTTGCAGGGGGATGGTCAGACAAAAATTATTGAGGGAAAACATCCAAATCTATTAAATTTCTCAGTCCCTCTCTTCCTTTTCTGGATAACAAGAATGCAAAGTCCCTTTTCCCTACTAGTCACACATTGCAAACCTAAGAAATGAGCATCAAAGGAAGGGGCAATGGGTCCAGTGGCTTTTCGTTCTGTATCATGGAACCTAACCTATCACCACTCTCACTAACTTAGGAGGTTTTTCAGTCTTAGAGCTGCTTTGGAGATCACACTCACTGCAACACTGCATAAGGATTTGGACAGGCTTTCAGGTTTGCAGGTCTGAAATGATTTAATATTTACAGGCTGCAATTCCTACAAAACAACCAGTTGGTAGCAAACCTATAGTCAGCGCACAAATATTAACTTTCCAAAGAATTTTGCTGCACTACAGATGAAGGGCAAGAAGAGGAATAAAATTTCCTACAGAAATTAAAGACACTGGGTCTCCCGGTGCCATGCTGCAGTAAGTTTGATCTCATAAACTCACTCTCTTTAAAAACCTTGTGACCAAGCTCAATAGTACTGGATCATGATCAAACTTTAGTCTTGTGAATTTTAAACAATGGTCACCATTTTTGTAATAGGCATTGGGAATTTCATAAATCTATTATCCAAATCATATGTTACTTTAGCTATTTGTTCTGTGTATTGAGCAGCACACAAAGCAATTCTTCCAAAAAATCTGCATGGTAACAAGAGATCACAAGCCATACCCTGCATTAGGTGAGTGCAGGATCCAGCCTGCAAACTGCAGTCCCACTGTAATGAAGTTACTGCACTGACAGAATCGCTTATGCAGTTTTATTCTTTTGCTATGCTTTACAACACTTATTCAGAGAGTGAAATACTATTAAGCCTCATTTACAGACAAAGAAATTGTGCAGAGATAAAAAGAAGGGGGAACCTGGTTGTATTCCTGAGCACTGCACAATACTTAGTATCAAACCACGGCTCAAGGTCCTTCATCCCTGCTGTGTTCTTTAAGGGAGGATCTGAATCTGCCAAGAATGATATTCTCAGATACCTTAGACACTCTCAAAATTAATGTAACAGTAACACTGGGACTTCTCGTTATTAAAGATCATCACACTTGAATAGAAATGTTATATCTGGTAGACTTATAATTTCATGGTTTTTGTTTCACCAAAATGAGGTATAAGATGTCTAATCTATTAATATTGAAGGTCTTGTCATGCCTGCAGTCCCTGCTGTATCCGGTGCATTCGGCTTGAAAGCTCGAAAGCAGGGTCCCAGCTGCCATCCAACTATAGGCTTGGCAGTGTTGTGAATTTTATCATGAAACATCTGTAAAAGTACAAGAACCAGAAACTGATTTGAGTGGAATTTGTTGGAAGGTGTGGGTGGACATAATTATTTTTCTCAAGGTGGCTGTCAAAATAATAATTAAAAAAAACACCACTAAAAAGCCCTAAATTACCATGATGGAATTAACAGGTGAGCAACAAAAGTGGTTGCCTTCTTAGGTTTATTTAGTGCTAATACTTGAAAACATCAAGCTTTTAACTTATGTTATTGACATCTAAAACATTTTGACAGCCATATACAACAAGTTTTACATAGTCATGTTTTCTAACTCAAATTTAGTATGTGAACCTAATGGATTGATTTCCCTACAGCTTGGGCATTTACATAATTCTGAGCTTCTGAAACAGTTTCCCTTCAGTTAATTATCACAGAAAGCACTTTCTCAGAGCAAATTTATCTCCTGCCTGGCCTTTAGGATCATATTCACCATTTCTCAGCTATTATATTTTATAATGCCAATTTAAGAATTTAGAGGAAGAGACAGAAGAGTAGATGGCATGTCAAGGAATCACCTCTTAGGAAATTTCTTGAGGGAGTTTTTCTAGATCAGTTACTTGCAGTTTGCCTGTGTTTAGTGTTGTAAATAGGATTAGAAGAAAGAGTTAGGGATTATGCAGTAACAGTCTAGTTGGCAGAGAGACAAATTAATCACAGAAAAGCACCACAAACTGCAGCACACACTGGGCTCAATAGATTTATGTTTGAACAGCTGCCCTGCACAACAAATTACCAGGATGCTCTTTAATTTTTTTTTTTAAATTACCTTTTGTTTTCTTGGTATTATTCTGATTTTTAAAGATTAATTTTACCAATTTTAGTTTTTAATAAGAAAAATCTCTATCTGTGACAAATAAATTCATCAACATACACATACAGGTCAGGCTATGTTTGTGATGCAAAATTAATATTTGAATATGAACATGGTGAGCAGCTTAGAGAACTTTAACTCCAATTATTCAACTGGATCTGTGTAATTACCTGGCATTTATAAATCAACACCATAAATATTAAATGCCTCTTGTAAGATGCTACGAAAGCATTATTTTAGTATGAATGGTTATGCTGCAGCACTTTAGAGTAAGAATTTGCATAGGAAAAAAGTATGTTAGGATTATTCTGAATTCTAGAATGTAAATGCAAACAGGATTTTATACTACTTATGTTATTGGTGAATGGAAAGTGATATAGATGAAATCTGACAAGAAGGTGGAATTAAGATAAAAATGTGTTGCCTATATTTTTGTACTATGCTCAGCTTAAATTCTCTGTCTATAGAAAGGCTGTTAATCTCTCTGAAATAACTCCTACTGAAATATGACTTTCTTAGAACAGCAAAAACAAAATGTGCTATTAAACAATTGATGGATTATAATTTTTAAAATCAAATTTTTTCCTTCACTTAAAAGTAAATATGCCTTTGGAAACATACCCTCTATGCTTCATACACTAAGAACACTTTTTCCATTTTACAATTAGTGGGGAATTTGAGAGCTAGATGTCACCCTACTTCAGCTGTGTCTGATGCACAAATTACTAGAATATTGGAGGAGATATTCAAAATGATCCCCAGAAACAAATCAACCTGGTGAAAGTCAGTGAATTTTACTTTTATATCCTTTATTTATTTTAAAGCTTTTTCCTTTTTTTTTTACTTTTCTTATAATATTTGATTAAACAAAATACATTGAACAGGCTTTGAATGAGTCAGTTTTATACCTGTTTAAAAAACAAGGTGACAGAAAAGTTCTTGCATGAGTAGTTTGACCAAAGTTGAATATGAATGGAAAAATATGCTCCATGTGAGTCTCTGTGAACTATATGAATATTTCCTTCAGCCTGTACATGAAAGCAAGCAGCAATTTGGATGAATTAATTCTGAAAGGTGAGGAAAATTTTTGAAGGGGTGAAAACATGAAAAGTATCAGTAAAAAAAAAAAACCAACAAAGCAAAAACCCAATATAACTTACAAGCTATTAAAAAAAAATGTAACTCTCATTTACCTTAAATTTTCTGAACTGAATTCTGACTCCAAGAATTTCAGAAACTGCTCTCTTCCCACAGGGTCTTTCAAAGCTTCATCCATGCCAAATCCCCACCGTTTCACCCTCTGTTGCCCTGGCTCTTTACTACAGAAGAAGAAACAACAGAACCCAAAGTGACCAATACTTCACTATTCTAACAATGTGCTCATAATTTAGGCCAAGTCCTAAAGTTCTATGGTGCAATGTTCAGCAATGAGCAAACAGACTGTTAGTACTTACACAGAATGAAGGTAATACACAGGAAAAAAAAAAAGATTTCCAACTAAGAATATTATCAAATTTTAAAAGCTTTTTTTTTTTTTTTTTCACCATACTAGAAGCCTGGAAACTGGTTACTGTAACATTTCACACAGATTTATTAATATATAGCACTTCCCATCTTACAAAACTGTAAAACTGGAAAGACCAAAAGGGTTCTGCATTGCCCTTCTTCCCCAGTATTCTCCTGCAGTACCTCTGCCTGAAATCTTCCCATTTCCAGAAAAGCATGTAATACTCCCTTACGTCCAATGAAGAAATAAAATTGTATACCTTGCCTCCAGTTCCCAGAAAGTAGTGTCATCTGATATCCAAGGGTTTGAGGGATCAGGGGGCACAAGAAAAGGATCATATTCCAAATACTGCTCTGTATAAGCTAATAGACTAGGAAAACAAAAGCATCAAATATTGTCAAGTCAGGAGGAGAAGAAACCTGATGAGATTACCCCAGCTAACCAGTTACCTTGCATCAACTGAGCCATGGTAACTGGGTGTGGACACACTCAGAAGGCAGCTACAAGCTCAGGGTGAAATAGGTTTGCTCAAGCTGTTAGAAAGTGGAGCACTGAAGAAGGACCATTGAAGAAGGAGGGGTGGCTCAGGTTTACCAAGAGTAGAAATAGAATAAGCTTCCCTAATACTTCCACATAGTTCCATTTAAGGTTCCTTTAGGCACTAATAAATTAGATCATACAACCTCTTCCATGCACATTTGTTTTCATAAAGGAAAATGTTTTATATCCCCATGGATATAAAAAAAATCAACAGTTTCCTTAAAATCAATTCTAAAACACTGCATGTTACACCAGTTATATTTCTTGGCTCTGCAGCTACTAGTACTCCTTTTATTTTCTCTTAAATATAATTAATATTTTTATTATTTACTAATCAAAGGACATTATCCCCAGCTTTATTTTTTCAAAAATAAATCATTTTTTTTCACTTTTTTTTTATATTAAAGAATTGGTCTGACTCAGCTGTACACACTAAAAACTTTGCTTGTATTCTGGAAATTTACATCTCCCATTGTCCTTATTTATGCTTGCTGTTTCCTTTGGCCTCATAATTTTTGTAAAATTATTGACAAGTGATCACAACTATTCTTTCTTTTCAATTCCTATTATATTTAGTGTACATTATATTTTTACTGTTCAGCAAACAAAAAATCTTAAATTGCTGTCTTTATAAATAAATATTTATATGTATTTGCATATGTGTATACACACATACATATAAATGAGTAGACATATATGCACAAATGTTTATGAGAAGATGAAGAGCAATTTGTATTTGGCCTTATTTCCTTTACTAAGGCCCATGCAGCTCAATTTTCTGCAATGTCAGGCTTTTTGTTTTATTTGCTTTCTAGCCCCTTCATGACAAATTTGGTCTTATTTAGAGATACATTCCCACTAGTGTTACATCTCTGACCCAAACTGAGCCCAATCTCACTTTGTTCAAGCACTGACTGAGCTCCACACCATCCAGTTCCCTTGCTCCATCAGTGATTGCCCTTTTGAAATATAAAAACAATAAGCCCAGACCTATTCCTATTTAGCTTCCCTGCCAATGAAAGGTGAAGCTTGTAATCACTTGGTCAGAGACTTTTTCAGTGACTCAGGTTTATCAGAAATCTATCATGGAATATCTGGAATATTTTTATCACTAAAAGAACTTCATACTTCTCCACTTATAGTAAACTCTCATCAGTTATTTCTATGACATCTGAGCTCTCATGTCTCTCTTTGAAGAGCTATTTTCTGTGAATAGCTCTCTGAAGCTATTTCACACTGACATTTTTCCCAATAGTTATCCGTCTAATTGAAAAAAATAGAAATGTGACAATATACGTACCTCTCTGCAACTTTTGACATTTTTAATCTATGTCTGTCTAATTGCATTTGCCAGTGCTTAATCTGCAAGAAAGGAAGGCAAAGAGTTTTATGAGTAATTTATTGCTTGACTCTATTTCTATAACTTTTTTTATTTGGGATGTAATTGAACATTAATTTATCCTTGGGCACAGAAGAGAAATATATCTGAATTAAAACAACATTTCACCAGTGTAGCTCTAAAATAAATGGAAGTTTCCATTAATGGGAAAAGATCATACAGAGACAAAAAATGTTCATCAGCAGAAATCCAACTAGCCATTTTTTTAGATTTTTGAGGAGAACTAATACTTCTTCAGACATTTACCTTCTCAATACCCTAACATCTCAGGAAAGATTAACAAAGTTTTAACAGTAGATAAATGTGCAAACCTATACATGCATACATGGAGTGGTAAGTATACCCCCAAGGCTCAAATCAGCATTGAAAGAAGAGAAAGCTGTCTACAGCTGAAGGGGCTAATGGGCTTAGCTATAAAATGAATCCACTCAGTGGCCTACTTTCTGCTGCCTTTAGGTGCTTAATACATGATACAAAAAATTCAGGCATTATCTTATTAGTTTTGATGAAGTTACATGCCTAAATCCATATACCTTGAGACAAGGAAAAGGTTTATTAAATGTTTGCAGCAGCTCTTTTGAATAACTTCCCAGTTATAATAATTTTTGAGTTTACACCTAAAAAGTTAATCCCTAAAAAGTAAATTTAAAAGTACATTTTTTTTAGTAATGCTCCAAACCTCTTGGTGTAGCTCATCTTCTGTGGGGGGCTTAGTCTCTGGCACGGGCGTGTGCGTAGGGCTGTGACTTCGGATGTCATTTTGTAAGCCATAGACAGACTATGCAAAAAAATATGAAAAAATGATGGTTGCTTTCAGACAATGCTTTCTACACACAGCCATAATACATTGTGCTCAACAAGTTAGCCAAGATTATCTTTAGAAACAAACTGCAATAACCCATGCACTCAGATAAAATCATGCTTCTGCACTAGAGTGTAAAATAAAGACTCCCCAACTCCCACAATTCCATAAAGCCATAACTAAGGATCTACTTTTATTAGGTCTCTATATTAGCATCATACTAAACGTGGGGAATGACACTGAGAGATGCTATTACAGTAAGTAGAGATGACTGGTAGGTGGAGTATCCTGAGAGGTACACTTACACACAGATTATTTGGATTACTTCCAAAATTGCAATTACTGTCTGGTAAATTACTCTAATCTGGACCTTTCACTACCATAAAGAAGCCAAGCTAAAACTTTCTCTAAATCCACTTTCCTTTATAAAAACCTTCCTAGGGGTCAGCATGCAAATGCACCTCAAAGGAAGTACTTTAAAGTGGGAGTCAATCTACATGGTTATGGTGCAAAGGATTTAAAAGTGTTGACCTAATCCATCTGTACATCCCTAGAGAAGTTACACTCTAATTACAACCTAATTTAGATAGAGCTAATTTCTTCCATCATTTCCAGTCATCCATTTTGGGCATAACTGTAATATAGAGACACCCTTTTCATGAAGACCAGGACAAGAACTGTTAGAATTTACATTGAATTTTTAATTTTTTCCTTAATTCCTGACAGAAACATTTTAATGTGCTTTATTTAATCTATGGAACAACATGAATAAATAGTGCAAAAATTAATTTTATCTTCAAAATCTTTGTATTTCTCCGAAATCTTATGTGATAGCAGTAACTTAGCATTAGCAAATTTGGTAATACTAATTCAACTAAGAGTTTATGCAATATTAATATACATTTAATGCATTTGTTCCCTTCAGCTGTAAAAAAAAAAGTGCTTTAAGAAATTATGGAAATTCATTCTATAAATTTCCTCCATCTCCTGTTTTCGATATAATAACCATACTTACCTTTCTTGTTTTATGTGGATTTCTCATTCTTGAAGATTTTTTTATATCCACTTCAGTAGTGTTTACACAGCCAGGCTATTAAAAGAAAGAGAAAGGAAAGCAAAAAGGCTAAATCTGTGATGGAACTTCTCTGAGCTACTCCTCCTCTTCAGTGTGCAAGACTGAAGAATAAATTCCACACTATGAAATTAAATAAAATAAATTGCCAAGATAATGGAAACCAGTCAGTTTCTGCTTTGGTTTGGCCAAGGAAGCCATTCATTACATTCTAGCTATCCCTCTAAGGAGCATGGTTGACTTAATGAAACAAAATAAACAGAACTGTGAAATATTCACCTCAGCTGTGAACTTCAGGTTTGCTTCAGGAGCTTTGGGGTTTGGGTCAATTTTAAAGAGGATCATGCTTTAAAATGAAATGGAAAACCAACAACAACAACAAAAAGGTTTTCTTTCTTTGTTCAGAAAAGAAAGGAAAAAACCAGACCAAACAAACAAAACAGGCTTCTGCAGCCTAATCAGAAGACTGACAGCCTAAATAAAATTACTCTCAATACATCAGATTTGGGTTTCAGTGGTTCATTCTCACAACTCTGTGGCCTCCCAAAGCACACAAATACTCTAGTTTCTCCTAATTCATCTTCTTTTGACACTTCTCTCTAAGTACAAAATCTATGTGTTAATCTGGTTTCTACCCATTGCTGGAAACAAATAAAAATGACTATTTTGCTCTCAGGGGAGTTTTATCTATTGATTTTAGAGGAATTACATTTGACACTGAGTGGAAACTACAAAATCTGCTCTCTAGTGGGAGCAGACTTTTACTGAAAGTAGGTTGGGCTTTAATGCAAGTAGCTAGATATTTAATTTACTTGCTCAACAGCCAAGCTGGACTTATTATTGCTCTAATGATACAACATCTATCTTCTTATCATAATAGACAATGCTTGATTTGACTGGAAATTTAATAAGACAAAATTTTTAAAATTTCTTGCATAGGCTAAGAATTTCTTATATAGCTAAGAAAAAAAATAGTTTTTATTAAACAGAGCAATGTTACTTTGCCTCTGGAGAATTTTCTAAACAACAGACTGGGTTTTTTTTAATCCAGTATGTTTTTTTTTTTTAAGTAATAAATAAATAAGTTTCTATTTTAAAGTAATAAATTAGTGTGCATTTGATCATATAACATTTGAAGTAGAAACAGTTCCTCATTGCTAATGATAAAAATAAACATTATTCTTAAGACTGCACCAGACACATTAGAATTGGGATGGTATCATTTGTGCTTCTGAACAAAAATGGGATTTTTTAAACTCAGAAATAACTTGCAAATCTCAAAGAAAAAGGTTGAAAAATACAAAGTTCCTCATGATGGTCAATTTAAAAGCAGAAAGCAATTTCCCAGGGCAGTATACAGAGATATAAAGTTTGAAAAAATCCAGGTGCGTGTACTTTGGGATTACAGCAGCAGCTGGCAGTGAAGAAGGCAAGGGCTTTAACAACATCTACAGCCTTTGAATGTAACAATTTGAATAGCAGGCACACTTACATAAGGCACAAACTGCTATTTGTTCAGTTTTCAGTTATGGTTTGTAATGCTTTTAAGCATGCTTTGAAGCTATGCTTTTAAGCATGTCCTAAAAATGGAGAGGGAAAAAAAATAAAGGCATAAACCTCATCTGAAGCCTCTTATTTTTGAAGATTTTAAGCCCACCAGAAGTGAATTGGTATGGACAGATCTTGCAGCTTGCCTGGGTAACTTCTGTGTCAGAATTGTGCATATTGATGCAAGGGGGACAAGAAATTCTGGGAGACTTTTAGAAATGAAACAAGGACAAAGCTTTTGCTGGTTGCAAAGAGGCCTGACCCAGTACTGACCTTCTACAGCACCTGGTGGATTCTTACTGACACCTGGCTCTGTAAAACCTCTCCCACTGAAGTGAAGGTGCTGGGGCAGGGGCACACAGGAGAGGCTGCGGGGGGAGAAGCTGGACCAAGGTGGCACTGAAGAGAAACTGACAGGAGAGCAGCCCCAGGAAGGCAGAGGCAAGGAAGCATCAGGAAGCTTCAGTGTGAAAGGGGAGGTGGCTAAAGGGTGCATCAACTACTCTGACAACCTGGGGTAACAATAGGAGCTTAAAACATGTATCGCTACCTCTATACAATAGCCTTCTCTTAATTTTATTTAAATTATATGACTGTATGCCTAATGTACCTAAGTACCTAATGTAGTTTGGGACACAATTTATGTTTTCTTCTCAGCTGAAGTATATTTATTAAATTATACTTGATATGAGATGGGTTTTATTGTTTTTCTGATGCTGCCAAATTTAATCTGTAAATATTCAGGAATAAATATCAAACATCTTTTCAATTAAAATAAACACAAAAAGCTGCATTATGTGAACACTTTGCTAAAATAACTCAGCCTTTGTGGGAAAACCTTTGCTGGACAACATTTAATTTTATTTCTATGCCCTCACTAACATAATAAGTATTTGTTTGAATACAATTATATCCAGCTGTGTTTTCTTTTTGTGTTGTTTTTTTTAACTGTACTACCATAGTTCAAATAGTGAGATGCCTCTCAGAGTGCTCTGCTGCAAGAATCCCATTTAGTGTGTGGTGGTATATAATTTGCATACTAATACTGTAAATAGTTTTCAAATGGATTTCCTGGAAGACTTGAGAAGTATTCTATATGTGTAAATAGAGTGCTTATTTCTTTCAGGAGTAATGTTCTGTGTAAAAACAATTTCCCCCCAACACACACAGAGGAAAGCCTTGTGACCTTCTTGAAGTTATCATACAGCAAAATCATAACCAGGGCAGAATCTGGTTCTCATCAATTTTTAAATATCTGTGTGAAAAACCATCATACATTCACTATGTTTTTTTCATCCATCTATTAGCATGCACTTATGTCAAAGTACAAATGCCCTTGTATTAATTTACATCAAAGGACAGGTCAGTCCAGTCGTAATAAATTCACTGTTGATATAAATGGATAAATAAATAATGGACAGATAAATAATATTAAAAAGCTCCCACATATAGAGGAATTTCAATCCCTACTTCAATTATTGGATAACAATGTTAGTACGAATCCCAAGCAGCAGCACTTTCTACTGATGCTGTCTAGGAGGATGCATATCAGGATTCTGCTAAAAAACACAAAAGAAGGAAGAAGTCTTGTTTGTAAGCAGAGGAGGAACCAGAATGTACATGCCTTGATCAGGCTATCACCGGCATTTGAAGCAACCATCTGAGAGGATGCTGAGTTAAAAAAAAAATCCACTTGATATATTTATATTCTATCCCTGAAAACTGTGGCAACAATGACTATATTAATTAAATTCTTCTAATAATGCTAGAGTGTATTAAATATAGGAAACCTGTAACAACTCTATGGAAGAATTCATTATTTACATAATATGGCATGCCTGAGCCATGGTACATTTCCATCCAAGCAGTGCAGAGTGTGGAGTATTTATAATCTGCTTTCTGTACAAAGTTGCACACTCCAAGTACACTTTTTATAGCCTGGCCATATAGCCCAAATCAACATCTGTTAATGCCTTTTTGTATAAAAATTGCTTTGCCATGACGTAATTCTAGAAAGTGCAAAATACTCAATAGAGAGTAAATTAATATTTATAATTAGGTCAGCTGAAGTTTTGACGTCTTTTTTTTTTCCTTCTTCTTTCACAAAAAGATGGCAATTTAAATGTGAATCTACTTAAGCCAAAATAACGAGAAGTTTTCGTGTATCTGAGACAAATATACCCCTGTATGTGGGAGGGAATAAGCTCGTGCATTCCAATAGGCTGGGAACTGTTTGTCTGGATTGCTGGTCTGTAGGAAATGATCTGAAGGAGAAGCTGAACATGAGTCAGCAGTATCTCTTTGCAGCAATGCAGACAAACCACATACCCAGCTGCGTGAGCAACAGCTTAGCCAGCAGGCAAAGTGTTTATTTCTTTCTACTCAGCATCAAAAGGAAATTTCTGGAACACTGAGACTACTTCTGAGCCCCACAAACAACACAAGAAATACATTTCAAACGGAAAATTCACTGGAGGAATAGACTTTTTTTATGCTTCAAAAGAGGAGAGTTAACTACTCCCTTTTGTGCCTACAGGGAGGCTTAGAGATATAGAGCTTTTCCAAAGATGCACTCTGGAAGGACAGGAGACAGTAATCTGAAATTGCAGTTAAGGAATTTCCAGTCAGCTGTAAAGAAATATACTTCACAATAAACGTAATAGAGGCCGTGGAATGTCCATCCTTGGTGATTTTCAAAGCTTGTTTAACCCAAGTGCCTGGACAATCTTATTCACCTTAGAAGTCAGCACTGGTTTGACCAGGAAGTTAAACTAGAAGACCTCCAGGGGTCCCTCTCAGCCTACACTTCTGTGGTGCAGCCTGCTCTTCACAAGCTGCAGGGAGTGAAATTCAAATAATCCACTTTACAGAACACTCCAATCAAGTATTCACATTGGTGTGAAATTCATCTCTCTGCCTTCCCCACACAACAGCAGAGTGAAACAAGACTGGTATTTGCTTTCTTACTGCTGCCCCTGCCCTGCAGCAGCCTGTGGTGCACCCTTAACCCATACAAACAAACCTCAGGTTGATTTAAGGAAATGTAATTTCACAGTCTCTTTAGCTAAAAATACATAGGTGCTATTTAAAATAATTACCTCATTTCAATATGCACACCCATGAATTCAGAGTTCATTAAAGCAGTAAGTATTTAGGTAGATTGATTTACATACCTTATGCACTTTCATTGCATTTCAGTGTCAATATACTGTGAAACAGATATTTTTCTTTGTTTTGCAGGCATGAGCTAACTTGTTAAGTGCAATTACAAAATACTAAATTTTAAGATTTCCAGGATTTAAGAATTTAAAATATTTTAAATTATGGACCTGGGTACAAACATGACAGATTGTCTCTCTCACTGGAAAAGATAAAAGTCATAAAACATAAAGGAAATGCAGAGATTTAAATCTTTCTTTTACATCATATGAAATAGATTATCACAAAAGAGTAAGCTTAAAATTTGAAAT